TTAAAAATTATTATGATGATTTTTTATTTGAATATTCTATAAAAAAAATTTCCAACAAGTTCTCATTCAAACAAGTCTAATGCACACATTGTTGAATGTTGAAACAAAAAACAACTAGTTCTTTAGTCCCACATCACTTAGGATTTCTAAGTTGTGTTGTTTATATACCTTTCCTTGTACCCATAGTTTAAGAGCTTTCATGATATTATGGCATCATGTGAGCTAGATTATTTATATTTAATTTAATATATAATATAATAAAAATTTTGAATCTTATTATTAAATAAAATATATGATATTTAAATTAATTTAATATTAATTAAACATTTTATATAAAAATAAAATATTTAAATATATTATTAGTTGAACCGGCCGGTTTTTAAAAAACGGACCGGTTCAACCGGCGGTTCAAACCGGTTTTGGTCGGTTCGTTGTTAGACCGATTCTTAGGGAGGATCGAACCGGCTGTTAGACCGGTTTACGGTTGAACCGGTCGAACCGGCCGGTCCGGTCCGATTTTCAAAACAATGGAATTTACAAACATACTATACTCTTAAGAATATCATTTTCAAATATATTATTTTCATTAAGGAAATTATGATCTTCTTAAACTCTCATGATATGAAGACGAAAAAAATTTCTCAAAGACAAACAATTAATAATATCACTTAGTTATGTTATAATTTGGAAGAGGCAAAAGAGTAGGAAGAAAATTTTATGATGACAACTTAACCTCATAAACTATAGGGCCATAGAAATAAACTATAAATAAAAGATGATATCTATCTCCTTATTAAAAATAGCATATTGGATATTTACATATGCTAAGCTACTAGATTAACCGTTGAGGAGGGAGTTGGCTAGGAGATAAAGAAGTAGTAAGGCATAAAATCAAACATTTTTATAGGAACCTTCAAAGGTGTGAGATCAAGTTGTGCCAAAATCTTTTTTGTTGTTATATTGATATTATATAGGTCCAATTGCTTTTGACACGTCTAAATAAAGTGACCTCATGCCCAAATAGCTTATAATGGTTATAATAATTGGAAAATTTCTTTATAATCAATCTTTGATTATAGCTACACTTATTTGAACCAATTCATAAATAATTAGGATATTTATTAAGTCACATGGTCCTTAGCCAATAGTATGGTATTGCATGACCTAAAGAGAGTTACTGTATTAGCATATGAGCGTAAGGATTTATCAAATAATGAAGCTAGTATGAAGATGGTAGATTTATCAAATCGATATATATAAGGTGAGAAAAGGTTATGTTGGTAATAAAATGGAGAACCCACCTCAAAGGCAACATCTATTCATATGAGGATTTACTAATTAAATTGTTCATAACAATTTCAAAGAGCATCAACACCAAATCACCCTCATAAGAGGTTAATAGTAATGGAGAAACACATTTCTAAAATATCAAAGAGGCTACTATATTGTTAACAATAGATAAAGACTTGAAAGATATCCTATTATCCAACATATATGCATAAGATTTTTTTTTATTTATTAAGGATGAGAGGAAATACCTAAGGGGATATATATGGACCTAGTCTAGGTTTATCAAAAACCCACACCTAAGCAGCTATGAATAACCCCCAAGATAAACTCTAATGAGTGCTTCGATGAGTGTCATATCTAACTTGACTTTGATCATAGTGAGTGCTTTCAATGAGTTCCTTTAACAAGTGTCTTCAATGAGGGCCTCTTAGATTAAGGTGTCTGCTAAGTCAGAGTGCTCACTATAGATAAATCTAGGTATGTA